TGGCCAAACACTGCCAACTCCTGGACATTCACTGTTCCCACCGGTACTGACCTTTCTACTCTTACTAGTCCTGAATCTGACAATCCCACTTTGTTTTTGGAGTATGTGTGGCTTAATTTGCAAGTATCTTGCTGGCTAACAGTAGTACTGTGGAGAAATTCTTTCCTTTTATTGACTATTTATTCTGTAGCTTTGTCCTGTGCTCCTACGCTAAGATTGTCTCTCTGGTTTACACCTGTGTGGTGAATGGGAGCGATAGAAAAATGTTTACTTTCTGGAGTGCTTAATTTACAGAGATGGTGAGATTTTACTAATCAGTGTCTTTTAATTCTTACATTTCTAGTATTTTCCTTTGTGAAGAGTCTTCTTAAAACTTTTTCATAAAATACCTGTTGCATGAACCTTCAGATAATCACATAAACCCATTTATTAAGTCCTAGTCGATGGTTCTTGAACATTAGAGCATGTAAACCTGCATAGTCTGTGTGAATGATACCCTTATAACTACAAAAGAAAGGAACATTCTGTTTTGTTCTCCCACCTTAATTCTAACAAAGAGCTAAAAGAAGCAGAGACAAGTAGCTGGAAGTCCATATGTCCATTCTCTTTGCTGTACCCAGGTTTTCCAGAGTAGCACAAGGATGCAGTCATAGGAGAATAAAGATCAAAACAGCAGCTCTCGCTGTCTCCCCGGTGCCGACACCATTCTTTACAGAGGCACGTGACAGAGAATCTCATCTCTAGTCTCTCGTGGATCTAGGATTTATATGAAACATCTCTGAGATAAACAATATGCCCCAAAGCTATAACATAGTAATATTCCTCTCTAAAATAAGTCTAAATTTGTGCTTGCTTTGGCAGCACATATACTAAAATAAGACTAAGTTTTTAAAATATATATATATTAAGATCAAGCCAGGCATGGTGACACATGCTTTAATCTGAGTACTCGGGAAGGCTGAGGCAAAAGAATCTCAAGTTCTAGCCCAGTCCGAGCAATGTAGTGGCTTAGCAAGACCCTGTCTCATAACAAAATATAAAACTGGGCTGGAGATGTAGTGCAGTACAAAGGCCTTGGGTTCAATCCCCAGTATCACTAAATAGTCTCCTTTTTTATTTCCAGTTTTTTATCCTAATGTTGTTTTGTTTTACATTAAGATGCCATGTTGCATTTCTTAATTTAAAATGAAGCTGAGTGACTTATTTTTTATTTTAGCTTAAAATAAAATTTAAGCAAAAATGATTTAAGCCAGTCACAATGGTACATGCTTGTAATCCCAGCTTCTGGGGAAACTAAGGCAGGACAATTCTAACTTCAAGGCCAGCCTGGGCAATTTAGTGAGACTGTTTCAAAATTAAGAATAAAAAGAGATGGAATGTATCTCAGTGGTAGAGTGCTCCTGGGTTCAATCGGAAATACACACACACACAATGTGGTTTAAATTGCTTCTTAGCTGGGGTAAGGTTCCCAGAGATGGGGAGGGAGGGATCTTCCTGGGAAGGAAGATCAGATCCTATTTTTAGGATTCCAGTCCTCAAACCTAGAAATTCAGAACTGTTAGGGAGGAAATAACAGAGGAATACTTACAAATGATGCCCTGCCAAAGAGCGAGAGCCAGACACATAGCTGTTTGGCTGCTCACTAAGCCTCCTCACCATTAGCCGAGTAGGTCTGACCCCTACACACACACACACACACACAGCAGTCAGAGATACGCCCCAGGCCCTACAGCTTAGGAGTTCTCTTCCCAACAGCAGTGTCATGTCAGCTCACTGTGTCAGAGGCTCGCCACCACCCAGCTCTTTTTCCTTTCTCCAGCCTTCACCTACAGTCCTGCTCCTGTGCTATCTTATTGCAGACTTGAAAAAAAGCTCATAGATTCCGGCTCCTTGCCTTTCCTTCTGGTTTTTTGATGCCTCGCAAACGGAGGCCCAACTTAAAAGTTTATAAATAACGCGGCTTTAGTGAACTAATATGAATCATTCCTTGAATTCCTAAAACATAATAGTTCTTAGTTGCTTTTCTTTGGGAGGTGGTTCACTAGTTAGAATTTCTTTTCATTGGTGTTAGAACACGGCAACAGTCACATTGGTGATTTTTGTATCGGTCATTGAGTTTCACATTGGATAAAAAAAGAATCTTTAGGCAAAACTGCAGTCCAGTCATGGTCAGTTACTTAATACACATGCCAATTCGTGCATGCATTCATTCATTCATTCATTCATTCAGCAAACATTTTTTGAGCTTCCACTACTCTGTGTGCTAGCCTACAGTGAAGAAGGCAGACAGGCAGCCTTGGGGATTACATCTCACCACGGTGCAGCTGGCTCCAAAGAGTCTTGTGCAATTATTTGTAGGAGGAGCTGAACTGACCTGAAACCACAACACTCTGCTGTCTGCCACCCACACCACCCCAGGAGAAGCAGGACTCGACTCCAAAGCACCAATGCTGCCCTTTCTTGCTCGAAGTTGTAAATGAAAATGTTTGATGTTCTAGTCATTCAATGTCTCTACATTAAAAAAAAAAAATAGCACAGAATGTTATATACATCATAGAAATTATGTGCCAAAAGAAAGCAATGTAGGAGTCAAAAAACTAATTTGTAATCTTTAATATTTTTTCTTTATGACTTGGCCAATAAAATTTGATTTCAGCCAAGTGTATTGGCAACCAAAGTTGTAAGGAGATGCAAATGTGAACAGTTTTCAATTCTCATACATAAGAAAAGAAATACACTCCCATATGTACATACACAGAAACCTGTAAGTGAAAACCAAAAACATTAATATGTTTGAGACACATTTATGGCTTGTATCTAGATGATCCCCCAAAGCCTCATGCAGTCATAAGTGATTTCTTCAGAGGTGCCTGAATCTAGAGTGTGTGATGCTGAGATTAAGGGCATATGCTTTCTAAACCAGTCCACTGATTGGTTTGGCACTGCCCTAATCCTCATAGTCTGCTTAAAAGGGGCAGAAAGACACTGTTAAGGTTACCTTGTTGCTTTTGCTGTCTTTGCCTGCCACTCTTCTTGGAGCCAGCCGACTGTGGACTGAAACCTCTACGAACTGTGAGCCAAATAAACCCTTCCTCCCTTAACTGGTGGGTGTTTGGTATTTTGTCTCAGCAACAAGAAAAGTAACAAGATAAAACACAGAAGTCTTCCAATTAGAAGAGATAGCATTGAACCAGATCTTCAAAAATCCCTTTTCTACAAATGAAGAAATGGACGAGTGACCCAGGACATAGAGAGAGTGTGTGTGGAGGCACTAAGTATTGGCGCCCAGGTCAGCTTGGCACCTCCTACTATGAGTAATTGCACAAGCGTGCATGCGAACAGCTGTATCACAGGGGGAGTGTGTGTGTGTGAAATGCAGGGAAATCACTATTTGAATGTGATTTGTGGTTTCAGATTTAGCCTCCAAAATCACAAAATCCAGAGTGCAGAAGAATGCTGTGATATCTGTTCTTTGCTGCTAGTGGAAAGGAAAAAGAGGAAAGAAATTGGAGACACAAATGCTAGTGGAGCTGAGGGAGGCTGAGGGTTTGAGTGGGATGTGGTGGGACAAGCAGTTAGTGAAGAGAGGAGTGAGGATTAGGAGAGGCAGGTTGCAACCCTCAGGAGCACTTGGCTTAGGAGGAGCAAGAACACAAAGTCACACACAATTTGTTTACCTCATCTGGAATTTTTCTTTACATGTGCTGAGTACTTCCTAGGTGCCAGGCGCTCTATATGGTGTGTTTTACAGGCGTTAGCCCACTCTTTATTCTATCTACCATGTCTTGACCTGCATTACAGTATGTGGGCAGGGAGAGAAGGTGATTCATCTTGTACTTTCTTAAGCAAGCAGTCTTTATGGTGTACATTAAGACCATGCATGACTGTACTGGGAAGGCATTAAAGGACTATTGCATGAATACATTATTTCATGAATGAAGCTATGTTTAAAATTCTCAGAGTTCGGCAGTATAGGCAACAAATAGGATGGGCTATGCGAAGAAGAGAGGAATCAAGGATTCCCAGTTTTCTAGTTAATTAGAAGGATGTCACTGAGACAGGAAACCCAGGAGGACCTGATTTAATGGCTGCATACCATGCTTAGCTTCTCATATGCTGAGTTTAACATGCTAAGGGTTAACAGGGATCTTCCAGAAGAAGTGAATAAGAACTATAGATTTCCATAGATATCATGCAACCTCTTTGGGTCTCATTTATCGAAAGCGGTTTTAAGCACACAGAAGAAAAACCCATTTTATTCTCAGGATATTTCTAAAGGGGTTGACCGGAGCAAAATCAGCAAAATTGGGTATCAGAACTTCAATCTGGAGCCTAGACAAAGTGATGGAGATAGCGACTAAAGGGGAAGCCTGTAGTCAAAGTAAGATTTTGCATGAGAGAATCAAGATCCAAGATTTAAAAAAAAGTCTTAAGATAAAGATAAAATTCAGAAAATTATTATTATAAGGAGATCCCAAGTAAAACTGTAATGAAATAACAACAGATTTCTGTTGCCTTTGGGAAAAAAAGCACCTTCCATGTCCCTGGAGGAAATCGTTATGATTTTGCTTCCTTGAGGCAAACTATGGCTGATTAGAAATCTTGCCTACCTTTTCAGTTAAGTCTTAAGATTCATCAAGCTGATTCCTGAGCTATAGATAAGTAAAATGCAACTTCCTGAATACCAAGAATGAGAGGCCTGGAAACTATTACCAGCCATGAAGCTGTCAACAGCCATGACAGGTAGAAACTGTCAAAAGACTGTTAATGTCTAGCAAGACAGTGGAGGGAGCAGCTGAGGAAGGATCCACAGGGAGGAATCAAACTCTATAATTTTCATACACTTTCAGAATTAGTGTCCATTTTAAGTAGATTCCCTGCTTTGCATGCAACTTGAATTTAGCAGTTCAGAGGATTACAAAGTAAAAATCCTATATGAAGTTTCAGCCATCTTTGCAGTATACAACCTGAACTAGATAATAGAAGAGCCAGTCATAAAATGATTGTTATGAAGAGATATATTTTGATTAACAAATACAAAGCTTAAAAAATCTGCTATCATATTTTCTTAGTTGATTTTTTGTTTACTTAAAATGGGTTGTATGTGTGACTTATTTAAACTTACTTACTATTATTAGAAGTATCCGTTAGGTGGACCACTGTGTATAATTTTCAGGTTCAAACACCATTTTTTTACTAAAATGTCTTACAGCCACCCTAGAAAAGGAGTTCTAGTAGTATTCCCTATTTTAAGATGATAAACATACACAGAGGAATTATGCAAATTAATCAATATCCACAACATCAATCTTTAGAACACTAATATATACAAATGAGATAACAGTGAACCAAAGATCTTTCCCAGTCAGACTTTAAATGTTAAAAAATGTGTAAGAGGAGTCTGGAAAAGAGGCCCATTTCTCTATATCAGAAAAGCACAATCCCTTAAACTCATATCAGTTCCAAGATTTTAAAATGTACACTAATTTTTTAAAACTGCTTAATTTACTGTAACATAACTAGCAATACACAAGAATTTTGTACACAATTTATTTAAAATAATTCAGGGAGACTTTATTTTTGACTGAGAAGGAATGAAACTATTGAAAAGATAGCTGGTTATCACTAATTACCTAATGGTACTTCTGAATAGTAACTGTTATAAGCCAACCTTGTGAATTTGTGAAGCTACATCATTAACAATCATAAATATTAAAAATTCATTTAGACTATCCATATAGTTAGCAGACATAGAGAATTCATTGACTGAAATAGGTTTGAAACCTGGCCTGGATTTGGTTGGCTAATAAGTTTAATTTTGTCTTCTTGTTTTAAGATTTAAACATTTGGCCCATACTGTTTCTAAAAACTGTAATCACAAAATATTAAACAGTAACTTTACACACATATAGATGTCACTCATAATTTCATCTTAAAAGTTATAAAAATGTTATCCTAGATAGCATTTAAGATCCCTGTATTTCAAGGCTTATTTCAAAAAACCATCACTATTTTGCATTTATAAACTAAAGATATGAACTAAAAATCTGTTGTTATACACTAAATATCACCGCCTAAGTCTAATTACATCATTCCTTTTGTTAACATAGAATGTTGCCCCTAATAAAATCATGACACAGTTCTACAGTTGTAATGGAAAAATTAAAGATTGAGAAGGTAATGAAGCAACCACCAAGATATTCAAAACAATCAAGTTAACATTACATTGATTTTAGGAAGAAATACCAAGAATACATAGGCTTACATTAAACAAGGAATAATTCACTTTTTAAGAGAAGAAATGAGAGACAATTTTTTAAAGTATTTGGATTCACCAACCCAAATAGATTTTAAAGACACATAGGAGAGAAAGAAATTGTGTGTGTGCGTGTGTGTGTGTGTGTCTACGTGAGAGAGAGACAGAGAAAGAGCGAGAGAGTGAAAGAGACAGACAGACCATTTGTCATTGGAAAGACCAACAATTTGCAAGAGTGAAAATGCATCCTGAAAGCATTTCTGAAATTTAAATTTTGCTAACAAAGTAGGTAACAGAGAAAAATGTACATTCGGTGCTGGATTCTACATAGAATAGAACCTAAAAGTAAATTCCACCAAAATGAAATTGTAATAACAGTCAATGCCTGGTTAGAAATCTCCCTTTGCTTTATGAAAAGGTCATGTTACAAGAATAAAACAGCAAACATGCAATATATACACTTTAGAATGTTTAGGAAAACCAGTTTCCAAGCACCATATGAACAATTAACTAGTTAACTGGAGATAATATTCTCTACAATCTTTGATTAGGTTGTACTTCAAGTAGTCTATAAATAGACTTGAATTAATTAAATTTTATTGCACTGTAAGTTGGCTGCTGTCATTATGTCCAAATGTAAACAATAACACAAATTTCCTTAAATTTTTCATCTGTGGATCTACTTGGGTAAACAAGCAATTAAAACGTATATAAAATTCAAAAAATTCAGTCCCCCTGGAAATGTGTCTTTGGCCAAGGAGATTCCACAAAATAAAGGGGGAAAGCTCAAAATACAATATCTTCTATTTTTAAAAAAATATTTGTTTGTAATTAAAAGGAGGAAAAAAAAAAGCTGATAAAGCCCCTGGCTTTTGTTTACTTATTAGAACATGTTCATCTCTTCATGCATGCTTCAGCTAGGGTCCTAAATTTGGGCTCCAAATGATCCAAAAACTCAAGCCCATCTTCTTCCTGTCGATCACTACAACACCCCACGGAACCAGCCACTGATCCTTTGCCCTCATAGTTATACAAAAGGACGTAGTCTTCAGCGTGCTTGTGGTTGTCATCCTGATCACACAGATGCACCTTCTGCCAAGGGGAAAACACAACATTTTATTATTATTATTTTAACACCAAAACTTACCATCATAAAAATAATTGCTTTGATTTACCTTTCATTGTTTAATTTTTAATCAGAGTGTGTCCTCTAATGGATTCCTATATATAAAAAATGCACATGATTGGTCTGTATCATAAAAATCACACTATATATTCAGTATACAGCACGTCTCTAAAATTCACCCATGTGGTAGCAAGTATACAAGTGTTCGTTTTAAGTAATTACTGCTTTCCCCTTTCAAAATGATGGCTAAAACTAAAAATATGTCTATCAAAACTGAACCCAAATTGCCATGAGCTCAGATCTTCCCAGACTGGCATAGCAACACTGTCTGCTTTTGTCACATGTCTCTCACTTCTGGTCTCTATGATCAGAGTTGACACATGAGAAATACTAGCACAGAGTTATGCACGGGTAATTTAAACATTATTATTTCCAGAAGAGTATCAAAAACAAAGAAGATATTAGGGAAAGTAAATAACCACTTAAAATTGAACATAATTGAATCAAAATTAAGAAAAAATAATCGTTTTCCAATGAATAGGTTCATAATTGAAAACAAAACTCTAAATAAACATGAAATTTTAATTATTTATGTAAAGTTTAAAAGACATCACACTAGATTTGTGGAATACTTAGGGAAACTCACTTCACCGAGTCGGGGCTGGGTGAAATTGTGCCACTCGGAGTAGGTGTAGCGACAGTTGTCCATCTCCACGTGTCCTCCCCTGCAGGGGTCCAGGGTGTGGTGGTACCCAGCACCCCGCCAGGAGTCCAAGGTCTGCTGTCCTCCTTTCACCAGTTCTATGGTCTCTTGCCCACCGTTTCTGACCCCAGATCCCAAGGTGCCACAGACGCCCTGACCAGAAGTGCCCACGGTATGGGTCGTGAAGGCATTTGTGGAATACTGAAATGAAAACCATTTACACTGACAAATATAGAAGGGAACAACAGCAACAACAACATCAAAAGGAAATAGAAGATCATGCCTTGACTTATTTTGTGTACTAGAAGATAAACTCTCCGAAGGCAGATGATTGTGAGTACTTTACTATTACAATCCCAATATTAAATGTAGCATCCAACATAAGAAAGAAATTTCAGATGTCAGTGGTTGGCACCTGGAGACAAATCAAAAAGCTCGATGTATTTTGAGTATAGTCCAACTTCAGTTGTTATGTCCTTCCTGGACCTCACTACTTGAAATCAGTACTTCTGTCTCCCATGTATTCGCTGTCTTAGTTTAAATCCATTCCCCTTTACCTGACTACAGTAGAATCTGAAATACTGACCAGACATTTTATTCAGTGTTCAATTCAGTTTTTATTTCAACTAAAATAAAAAGAGTAATGTTGCTATAAAAATCTTAGCTGTCATCATAAATTCTTGCAATCTACATGCACTTAAATCATGAATCAGGCAGGGAAAATGTAAAGAACATCAAAAGTTTTGGCCACTAGGATTCTATTTGGGGACATTTCAATGTAATTTAGAGGGGTTTTTTTTCTCCAATCCTTTCCTAGATCCACCATGCTTTTGTCTCCTCATCTTTCTCGCTCTGATTGTCAATTATGCTTTTCATAGGAAATTTGCTTCCACATACTGGGCTAGAAAAAGTCATAGCAACACAGTCAGTTCCTAGAATTGGTGTTTCAGATATTCTGCTGCAGGCTCTTTTCTAACCCACAGTATGGCCAGAAAGAATCCATTAAACTTCTTCCCATGACGATCAAAGCTTACAGTGATTTTATTGCTGTTGCTGAAAAAATTTAAACCAATTACGCTGGGGACCTCTGACTAATTAAATGCAACATTTTTACAGCATAAGCAACAGTTTTAAGTAGATGTAAAAATCAAAAACAAAACCAGGTTAAATGTTAAAGACATCTGAAGTAGAAAGTAATAAAGACAGGCTAAAAGATTTTCGTCATGAAGGAACACTAGATGAGCAAAGTGAAATACCGTATATCACCAAGGCAATCAAAATTATTTTCCCAGTGTCACGGGATTGGTGATATTTTATGGTAAATTATCTAATATTAAAAAAAAACTTGCTCAGCAAAGCTAATCTTGGAAGGAGTATGTATACATTGGCAATTCACCCTCTGTAGAGTGTGTGTGTGTGTGTGTGTCTGTGTGTGTGTATGGGGGGGGGGCACTGGGAATGAACCCAAGACCTTAATACTGTGTTTAATGCCCAGTTCATTCTTATTTCTTATTTTGAGCCAGGAGCTCTCTAACTTGCCTAAGCTGCCTTAACTTCAAAGGATGCCAAGAGTATAGGCCCATGCCACCACACCTAGTTTGTATTCATTTGAAAAACACGGGCATCTTACCACTTTGTCATCTCCGGGAGCTTCAGTGTTAGATACAATCAGGTTCTGTTGGGCTAAATCATCAGGAAGTGTTTTTACCTCTCTGGTTGCCCTAGAAGCCGCACACACCAATGTAAACAGGATACCTGCAAGGAGAAAGAAAGTCCAGGACTTTACTTAAATCTGTCATAAAATGATGTGAAGTTATGAATTCACAATAGTTAATACACAGTTAAATCATAAATAAAAGACTGTGTGCTAAAAGAAAACAGCTTTCTGGAACACGAAGTATGATTACTTGTGTCAAAGTGGTATTCAGTAGAAAAATCTGGCCTGAACAGATATGCTATAAATACACCACACATACTATTGTTCTACACTGAATTTTATGTCCATGCCAATAAGAACCAAGCATAAATGCAGTCAAAATATTTTAAATATATTTGTGTGTTAAACAGAAATACAGCTACATACAAATGATCAGCAACAGGAAATAGTGTTGATTCTAAGAATGTTGGTTGAAAGTTACTTTAAAGGCTAGTATTGTATTTGAATTTGAGAAAAAACTTACAAAATAGCAGCGCTATGCCCAACAATATTGCGAGGATGGCCCATGTTCCAAGTCTTACTTCGCCAGCTCTCTCAATTGAGCGAATATCACACTCTGCCTCGGTAACACAATCACACAGCCTAACAGTCAATGAGTTGATGGTAGACAGGCCGAGTCTGTCTGTAACTCGGATGGGCACAACATATGATCCAAACGGAGGGTCATTCTGATAAGAAAGCCATGTTGCTGTGTCTGGGAAAATAAAACCAGACCAGTGTCACAGTGAGCATAAATAACTAGTTACCAGAGAGTTAACCATATTTCCCTACAAATGGACATTCTAGTGGGCTGGCACAACGGCTGCCACACTGCAAATGTGAGTGGACTAAGTAGTTCTAATCTCCAGCTGTACCACACACACTGCACATAAAAGTTTGTCTATGCTGCCTCTTAAGAAAAGGTCTCTGGGCTCTTATAATAATATATTTTATCCATTTATCAACCAGTCCCCTTCCTATTATAACTAGTAGGCTTGCTAAGAGGTTTGTTCTTATCATATCTTTAAAATATTCAATTAAACCAGTCAGGGTGTATGTCCTTTTGTATATGATTCATCACAGAGAAACAGTATGAAATTCTGCGTTTCTTTCTTTACTTTGTTTTCACATGTTATGCTGAATACATATAAATATCTCTGATTTCCTATAAGAGACTGACTTTGACCACTCAAAACACACCTGACTTTGAACATATTAGTAGGTCTTGCTGCTGGAACCACATCCTCTGGTCCTAAAGGACATGAGACCAACTGCCCATTTTGTTTTTAACATTAAGGAGGAAGAATATCCAGACCAAAAGCCCATTCTGTATCATCTTGAGTTCAGAGCCAAAGACATACTAAACCTTTAATGTGGACACCACATGTCTACCCAAGAGCAATCCTTCTTTCACTTAACTGTCAAGGTGAAATTTTAATTTTTGGTGTCAGTATTTGAAGCTCTAAATAAAAATTTGAATGTTTAGGTGAAGATACCATTGAACGAATATTTTAAGAGGAACTATGTTTATAGTCTATTGCATAAGAATAATAATAATGAGACTAACCAAACCAGAATTTATGATTCATTGTGTTTCATTCATTATTTCATTTACTTCTGAAGTAATCCCAAAAAACACATGAGTAAATTAATCCTCAAAAAGAATACATATCATGATCAGATTTACATAATACATGCTGGAGCCCGTGTTTGACATTAAGCCTATCTGACTTCAAAGTCTCAGGTATTTTTTTTAACTTAGTGTTTCCCAGGCTCTTGGATAAATTCGCCGACCAGTAACTCTTTAAAATAATAAAATTTGGGGGCTGTAGGTATAGTTCAATGGTAAATCATGTGCCTACTATACAAGAAGAAGTGGGTTAGATTCTCAGCACCACAAAAACAAAGAAATAACAAAGATTTGACAAGCATACTGCTGCCAAAGTTTTATTTTGCTAAACCAGAACTTTAAAAAAAATTACCACCTCCTATCAACCCTATTTAAAACAAAATGACAACATAGCATCAAATAAGTACAAGGGACAAAATCTAAGAACAGTTGAAACGTGCCCCATCTCTCTCACACACACATACACACACACACGTCAGAATACTATTTTTAAAAAAGCCAAAAATCTTATCAGTTCACAAAACAGGCCTCCATACACAATACCTTAACTTACATGTCCTTGGTTCTTTTTCTCCCATTGCACTCTCTGTCACATTCTTTCACAACCTTTCTTTCCTAATTTCCTATAACAAGAAGCAAGGCACATTCACTGAAAGCATGGGGTTGCATCACATTCAAGGAATGTGCTGAAGAAGTGAGAGCTAACATAGGAAGTGATGTAAAGGTAGAAATGGAGAGAAGTCACCTTCACTTCCACCATACTTATCACCATTGATCCTGAACAAACTTCAAAATACAGACTGGAGGGCCAGGGATTTAGCTCAGTGGCACCACGCCTGCCTTCAATCTCTGGTACCCCCCCCAAAAAAAAATACAGACTGGGAATCAAGTTGGGAGAAAATTCTAAGGAGAACAAAACAGACACAAAATGGCCACAAGTCAACACAGTGGCAAAAAGAAGTGACGACACGGCAAACACCCCATTGTGGGCACCAGATCGTGCTGCAGCAAAGGTCTTACTGTTCCAGCTGCTGGGGAGGCTGTCAGCACCTTCCCTGAGTGTCTTCCTGCCTAAGTTCATGCCCTTCTGGGCAACCCACATCACTGAGTGAGCAATGACAGAGAACAGGGAGTGGATGTGGGAAGATTCTAGAAGGCTATTAGCTCAGAATCCCCAAACTATACCATCTAGCCTGAGTTGCAGCCTGGCTTCTCCTTTCCCCTAATCTGCTTCCCTTCCTTTTATAGCTACTGGTCCCAGGCAGATTCCTTAAAGAACATACTTCTTGAGAGGCTTCTGAGAGTCTCAGAGTCTACTTCCTAGGAAACCAACCAGTGATCATTTTGCTTATGATCTAGGACACCATTACCATGCAAAGATTCTACACGGTTGGGTGTTCAGAATGGAAATGTGAATTCACAAAACACCTCGGGGAACCCTGATATGGGATGCAGGCAGACCCCGGGGAGATCCATGGCCCGCCACCCTGACACTGAGAATCATGCCTTATTCATTAGTGGTTCCCACACAGTAAATTATTCTTCTGTTTCATCAAGTAAAAGGTATTTTAGACATCCCGATGTTGAAAACCAAAAAAAGAAGCAATCTTTAAAAACATATACCATTAATTTTTTTCAGTCTCCACATTCTCCGTACTTCTGAATCAGAACTTTCCAAACTAAAGGCAAATGGTGGGCCATTTATGGGTTCATCAGGATCAACAGCGACAATCTCCGTGGAGAACATGGTGGGTTTACAGATGGTCACTGTAGTCTTAGGTATGAATGGGCCGTTATCATTCACGTCCTCCATTACAATTCCCAGGGTTCCAGTACAACTTCTTCCATCTAGAAAAGTGCAAAACAAAGTTGTTTATGTTGCAAGTTTTCACCAGGGAACTATATATTGGAAAAAAATTTAATAAAAACTGTAATGCATAAGTTATAGTGATGAGCATAGCCAAAAGCTATATCCTTATGGAAAGTTAAGAGAAAAATATTACTTTAAAATGGATTATATACAAAAATAATTGTTACTTATCATGGGTCAGGAGCACCAGGCCACCAGGTTATGAACTGGGTCCAAATCATGGGCCACAGAGAAGGAGCAGGTAGAGCCAACTACAAAATTGTTAGGTAAGATAGGAAAGTAGGAGAGGAAAACCCCCAAAGCAGCAAGCAAACCAAAGACTCCCCATTTGATACAAGCCTGTCTACTGAAATTTCCAAATGATCAATGTACAGGAAAGCCAAAAATTTGCCAGTCGAAAGATTAATTTACTCTATGCAAGATATGTTTGAAACAGATACATTTTTAGGATCATCAAAGATGTAAAGAAGGGTAATTAATTAAATAAGAATGAAAGTATATAGCTTAAATTCCAGCACAAATAAAACAGCAGTATTCTTCTAATAGAAATTGTAAAAGACAATAGGATGCCAGGGGAAGAACATTTCAGGCAATTAATTACAGAGAATACCCCAGATTTAATTCAGAGAGAATTAGAATATCTAAATCATATTCCAAAATCACTTCTAAATCTAATTTCGCAAGCTACAGCACCATCATTTATGTTTACTATAGTTAGCATTTTTATTTTCAAATCTATGTTATGCTAAAATTATGCTTATGGGCTATGGGCTTTATATAAAATCACCATATTCATATTCCCCTCAACTTTACAGGATACATATAATATAATTTTACATGTTATGTGTATATATGGATTCACAGTGTTAAGTTTCCCTAATTTTATAACATGCTATTAATTGTGACTGTGATTTATTTTTAAATAATGTCCTTAATCAGAATTCCAATCCCACCGGTATTGTTAGTTTTCTGCAAATATTGCAACTGTTTTCTAGAAGTGCACCATGTTGAAATAAATATGTTTTCCCTGCAATGAACTTCCCTGACAAACTAAATTTTGTAAGGAAAACAAGTAGATAAGTTGAAGTTACTTTTACTAACACAATTTCTCAATTTTTAATGATTATTTAACATTTAATATGGAATTAATATGTTTCAGTTCCCAGTGTTTCAATGACTAAATCATTTTATAAGTACATTTAACACCAAGGATAATCTTAGAAAGCAGACACGAGGAAGTAAATGATAGCAAACCTCTCAATTACTCTACATGTCATTCTGGGGAGAAATAAAAAGTGTGAATGTTAGGCACCAGTTTTAAAAATGTATATTTGGGGGCTGAGGGTATAGATCAGTGGTAGAGAACTTACTTAGCATGCACAAGGTCCCGGGTTTGATCCCCAGAATGACTAAAAAAATTAAATAAAAAGTATGTCGTTGATTTAAAAGCTGAGGATGTGTCTAGGTGAAGATATATGCAGCTGACTTAATGACACATGACTCACCTTTATCTGATGCAAGGACTGTAATATTATATACACCATTGTTGATGGACTCTGCCTCTCTATCCAAATTTCGGAAAATTGTGATTGATCCTGAATCTTCATCAAGGGTGACCCACCCTTTCGGATCACTTAACTTTCTGTACCTGTTCACAATGATGAATTAAAATAAATACTATTAGAAGTTAAATTATAATAATGATAGCAAAAACAGCTGTAAGTCTTTAAAACAATAAATTTGCAGTGAACAGCAGTGGAATGGCACATACCTTATGCCACTGTTACTTCCTGTTTCTGGGTCATACGCTTTGTAGCCATTGCTCCGGGTCCCCACTGGCTCACTTTCTTTAATCCGAACAGTTTGTGCCGAAGGTTGGCACTCAGGGCCCTCGTCCTGATTTTTGACAGTAACTGTGACTGTCGCTGTGCTAATGGCTGATTTGGAAGTAGCCTCTCTGGTATATGGAGCTTCATTAGTTACACCAATTTCCAGGGTCATCTGTTGTCTTTCTTCATAATCTAGTGGCTACAAAAGCAAATATGTTGAAAATTAGATCAAATCATTTAATAGTAGGCAATGATAACTAGTATAATTAACTTGTTAAATTTGAAAATATGCAAGTACAGTACCATGTTGAGAATAGTCATATGCCAAACATATGGTGGAATGAGGGGAATTCTTCAACTGATTAAAACAAAACAAAAATCAACTTGTCAACTGGAAACTATTATACTCAACTATTTCACCACACAAGTAGTATAATAGGTACTGATAATGATTTCAGGAAGAATTTAATGAATTTAATGGCGCTACAGTATTCGGGTGACAAATGAGATCCTCCATTGAGAGTTCATGTTATAACCAATAATTAATCACTACATCACTAATTTTAGGACAGCTGTCTTAAACTCTTCAGATAAAAAACATTTTTATCGGGTTTAGATAGAAAAATTTTATAAAATGTTAAGAGGACAAAGACAAAAAAACAGAAAATTTTGGACATTACCCTTCCCTTTTTAAAATCTCTTCTCTCTCTGTTGCTTTCTTAAAAACTGGAAGTACCAAGTTTTATTTTATTTTTCCTGAGTTTTCATGGTAATGAAAATGAAAGAATCAGATTTTTTTAGGTCTTATACTTCACAAAGATAATTTTCCTCTTACGGAAAGGTGATAGGTGAAGAAAGAGGCAAGATTTAAAGGACATTTCTTTGTTGTTTTGCAACAAAGAAATTAACCCATAAACTGAGCTAATTTTCATTTTTTTGAGGAAAGGGAGTCATCCTTTTTGATCAGTGCTTCTTGAGAACAGGTACAAGAGAAAATTCACAGAACCACAATACAACCATGTTCTAGTTAAAGATACAGCAGAAATAAACCTATGTCTTTGCTCAAGGTCATAGAAGCTCAGATTGCTTTATGCACCACTCCGGCTCCTAAATGAGGGGCAACCTCTCAGATGTAAAATAGTACTAAGAATCTCAGAACTGTTTATGTCCTTGAATGGACTTCCACTCTGAACCTGGATGCTAAGGATATGCTGTGTACTACATACAGACAATAAATCTACAAATAGCCGCTCTAAGGGTCTGACCTACAGTAACTCTTTTGGGAAATTAGGTAAACAGGGGGAAGACTCTTTGATTCGGATACAGAAAGAACAATTCAAGAAAGTTTGGCAAGGTCCATTAACATCAAAGCCATGCTTGTTTCTGAACTATTAAGATATCAGTTATAAGGTGGATATGATATCATGTTAATTGAAGACATATGAATGGTTAAAAGGTTACTAAAAATAAATATATTCATTCCATTATATAAGTGATGACAATAGCATTTATATCTACCTATTTATCCAATTTATCCTTATGCTTACCAGAAATCCTTCCTTCCATTAAATCCTAGGATATTATTCTACAACATTATAAATTACAAATAACTAATTTACTAATTTGTTCTTACCTTGACTATACACAGAATTCCTTCATTGGTTTTGGGATCTGTTACAATTTTAAAATTTCCGTTTTCATTGCCCTTTAAAATGGTGTAATTAGCTCTCCAATTAGCAGTATTAGCTAAATCTTTATCCTCAACAGTAACACGTAAGATTTCCACATCAGCTGTATTTTCTTCCACTGATGTCACATACTAAAAATGATAAAAAGAAACAAAGAGTTGTACTAATTAGCACTCATGAATATAGGTCACTGTAGGAAATAAGTCCTGTTTCTTCCAATTTTCAAAATACTACATCACATGGTTTTAAACTCTAACACTATACTATTATGTCACTTCATTTGAAATCCTGAGGCATGGATAGAGATGTGGATATTTAACAATTAACACTGGGTTCTACATTTTTCTTTTATAACTATCATACACTTACAGAAGAGTGGGTAAATGTTGGCAAGTTGTCATTCACATCCCCAATATTTATGATACAAGTTGCAGTTGTCTGCAAACCAAAATGTTGACCATCCATGTCTTGTACTTTTACTTTCAACTGGTATTTATCAATTACCTGAAAACAAAGAAAGAATTTAATTATTGGGTGAAAGCAACAACACTACAGATGAAATCTCAATTTAGACTTTATAAATTTGTTTACATTAATAATTTATAAATTACTAGATTCCAATGTGTTGATGCCCTAGAAAAAGAATTTCCTCACACTAGCAATTTTCAATTGATGTGTGAAAACAGCCTGGTTTTTCAAATTTAAAGTGCTACTAATTCATAGAATACACAGCTGATTGGCTTTGTTATTATCCAACAGAAAGAGCTACAGCCATAATAGCTTTAAAATTGCCAGGTAATTAATTAAAATATTTATTTTTTTATCCAAAGTGCATTCCTATACTCAAAAGTTTATAGCAGTGACTTTTATACTGGTCTTGTAATAAAATAATAAGGTACAACATCCTCATGTAAAATTTGCTTTACATTTATGAAAAAATCATTAAGTTAATATGAACATACAGGTTTAGGGCTAATTATTTATTTCTATGAATAAATGGCTTTTAGGACTTCCTATCCATCTGATCTTGCAGAAGGTTCATCATTACTTTAAAAAAAATTTTCTCCTTGTAATGAGTCCATTTTTCATAAGTGACTGTGATATGGAAGGACAAAGACAAGATAATAATGTTTCCCAGATGGAGAATTAGGAGACTTGTATTCTATTCTCAACTCCGAAAATAACAAAATGCAATCCTGGACAGCTGGAAATGTCTTTGCCTAGGACTCTTTTTCTTTAAAATGTCTGTAATAATTGCCTTTCCTACCTAATTCATCTGTTTTTCAAAGACAAAATGATATATAAAAATCTATCCTAACCTTCTATCTAAAACATTCACCTTCCTCTTAAAAAGCCACCTTTTCTCAGTAATTCTATCACCTTCCTGACTGTCTTAGGCTCACATGCTAAAATAAAACTAGCTACTATAGTTATGCTTTTGCTTATGTAATTTTCCTTATTCACTCTTCCCTCATAACCCATCAGATGTTTAAGTCTTGAAATATAATGGTCTAAATAAAATTTTTAAAAATTGTAAAAGCTAGATGTGGTGGTGCACACCTGTGATCCTAGCACTTGGGCGGCTGAGGCAGAAGGATTGCCACAAGTTCGAGGCTAGCCTGGGCTACCTAGTGAGTTCAAGGCCAAGGCCAGGCGGAACTACACAGCAAGATCTTGACTCTAAACAAACGAATAAATAAATAAATAATATAAATAAAAATTTAAAATCATACTACTATACTTTCAGGATGGAATACATATTTTCTTTGCAAAGACCTGGGATTTACTAGAAATAATCAGTTGGTTAGTAAAGAAATAAAATTTTGTTATCCTAAATATTAACTGGCAATACCTTCAGATAGAAGAGAAATTTTGATGTTTAGAAAGGTGGTAGGAACCAGGTGTGGTAGCACACTCCTGTATTCCCAGCTACACAGGAAGCTGAGGCCGAAGAATGGCAAAATGGAGGCCAGTCTGAGCAACTTAAGAACTTGTCTCAAAATAAATAAAGAGCTGGAAATGTGGCTCAGTGATGCAGCACTTGTCTGGCATGGGTGAAGCCTTGGGTTCAATCCCCATTACCACAAAAATAAAGAGGTAGACAGGTAGATAGATAGATGATAGATAGATAGATGATAGATAGACAGACAGACAGACAGACAGACAGACAGATAGATAGATAGATAGATAGATAGACAGACAGTCTGAGAAGGAAAAAAAAGAGAAAGATACAGGCAACAAAGGAAAAGTAGAATCCTGAGGTCAATAAGTTACTATAATTTAGCGAGAAGAGCACTACTACTACACTACTCAGAAAATGCCTTGGAGATCAAATATTTTCAACCGATTCTATCAGAAGGATTTCTTTAAAGGGAAAGAACTTATGAGATTGTTTGGCTTGTAAAGTGAACAAGCCACTGTGGTTTTATTTTTTACTAGTTTTAGGGTTTTTTTCCTATTTTTTTTTCCATAATACTAATTTTACATGACAGACACGTGTTAGCCAAGCTGCAACATCTGGAAAAATCATCAAATCACTTCAAGGAAAACAACTATTTGTTGCCAGTGAAAAACTGGTGTTTTCAAGCAGAAGTAAGAAATTTAGAAAACTTATGTCAACCACTGAAGTATTAATGGGAATTAAGAGGTAATTTCTTTAATCTTGTTAAATGAAATACGTCTAACTCAGTGAGCCAGTATTTTCCAAACGACTAATGCATGATGTTAAAAATCATACATCAGTGAAACACTCACTTGCAGTTTAGAATAGATCAGTGGATTTTAATGGAATGAAACGTGAACGTTCATTGGTAAAGCTTCAAAGTCCACATTGCAGAAAACCTTACGAGACTACACTTGTGGAGTTTTGATGTGCTGTCGCAGAATAGCCACAATGATCTGAAATCACTATTAAAATATTCCTCTCTTGTCTAACTTCATATCATGTCAGATGTTCCATATACATTTTAGCAAAAGCTATATATTATAACAAACAGAACACAGAAGGAGATACAAGAATCTCTTTGTCTTACACTAAGCCAGTAATGCTGTAATCTCAGCACATGGGAGGCTAAAGACAGGAGGATCATGACTTCAAAGCAAGTCTGGGCTGTATAGCAAGTTCAAGACCAGCCTGAGAAGAATATAAAGGAATCCTGAGGCAAAAAGATTTTGAAGATCATTGCTCTCATCCATGAGGGAGAAGGAAAGAGAGGAAACAGAGCTAATACATTTACTGCTCATATGCATGGCTTAAAGGCCATTCCACACAGTATTTTCAGCATGCCTGTGTTTTTATTCTGACTTCTCCATGAGGTCAGGTATGGAATTTTCCATTCCTGATGTCATGCTGGTGCTCCAAAAGTTTCAGATTTTGGAGCTTTTCAGATTTCAGATTTCTGAGTTAGAAATAATTAGCCTGCACTGTGAATAGCCATGTTATAATCGAGTTTTATGTATTGGTACTTATGTTACCTCTCTGTCCAGCTGAGATGATGTTGTGGTGATCACACCCGTGCCTGGATGCATAGTAAAGAGAGTGGGTCGCGATGGTAGCTGCTCAAGGATTGAGTACCTCAGGCGCGTGTGCATGGTATCGGGCTCATCCTTGTCCGTTGCACAAACCTGTCCCACTGTAGTGCCTAGAAAGGAAAAGAACTTTTTTCCAAAGTTTTTACATGTTTATCTCTCCTTTATTTCACTCCTCTCTACTTACATCAAAAAAAGTTCTCGACTACTTTATTTATAGTAGGGTCATGGCTTAATAGGTTTGCAGAACTCTACCTAAAGTATCACTTCCTTCTAAATATCCTAAATGTCTACCATTTTGAAATTTGGTGACCATATCTGCTTTTACTGAATGTAATGTATGATTTGATGATGTTGACACTCTCCCTCTGTGAACTTTGTAGTTCTAAACCAAAACATTCTAATTATTCTTTAGCCTTTTTCTATTTGCAAGCCTGGACTTTTAACCACATGAGTCAGTTTTCCCCGAAAACTACTGGTTCAGTTGGGTATTCCTTGAGAAAATCTCAAAATTCATGCTCTGATTTCCCACTAAAATGGTCCAACTGCACCAGACTGAGGAAACACTTATATTATTCTTGGCGACCTTTATAATAATCATGCTCAGAATATTGTCACTCATTTATTTAATCATCACAGAATGTCAGTAGATATCTTTAAGATTAAGTCCCTAATCATTTAAAGATTTCTTTTTTGGAATGTGTTCTTTTAAAAGTATTTATTTTATCACACAGGAAGACAAAGCAAGATTCAGCAACTTCTATATTTGAGGTACTGGGCTTGGCATTCCATGTGTATTATGCTTCTTTTAATCTTCATAATAATCTGGTATTTCAATAACCCATTTTATAGATGAAGAAACTAAGGACTGTTAAAACAAGGTGGTTTGCCCAAGGTCACAAAAAAAACCAAAAAAAAAAAAACAGAGTTAATTCCATCCAGTGTCCCTTGATCTTGCTGTTCTTACCAACAAGTGTTATGTTCCTTTCTAGTGGCCACAGTATTTGTTAAAACATACTTGAGTTGACACATTTTGTTACAACAGGTACTCACCAACTCTGCCATTTTCAAGAACTGTAAAAATGTATGTTGTTTCAGTAAAAATCGGGTAGTTATCATTTTCATCCTCTATTTTGATTATTAGTGGCAATGGAAGTTCTGGTGTGTACCCATCTGAAGTTGTTGCAAAGGCAACCAGCTGTGAAGAGAGTAAAATTAGGAGAAAAGAAAAAATAAACCTTTAAAATAAAATACAATGCCTAATTTAAACGAAGTAAATCAGACACATATGCTTAAATACCATATGGTTTCTCTTATATGAGAAACTCAAATATAAATAATTTAAAGAGCAAAATAAAAGACAGATAACAGGAAACATGGAGATGGATCTTTTGCAAATGGGAAGGGAGCCAAGAGATGGAGGGAGAAAGGAGGGAGAGGAGGGGAAGGGGACCGTAAAAGAATGAAGATGGGTTACATGTTCTGTGTACCAACTCCCAACGATGAATGCGATCATTACGCACTGTAAACATGTACTGATAAAAATAAAAATTAAGAAAAAGATACAACTCAAACTTGCTTTGGCTTTACTTCAGAGACTGGTGAGCACACAGTGTAAGTCTCGCCATTTGTTACTGCTTTGAGATGTGGACATAACTAATGCCAAAGGAAGTAGTTAATTTCATGGTGTGGTATAGCACTTTATATTTAAATTTATCTAAGACAATGACAGATAGCAATCTTAATTTCCTCACCACTGCTAAGTCTTCATAAATGTAATTTTTTATTATGAATTTTCAGGAAAATATTTGGAGATGTTCTATTTTGTTTGAAAGTTTCAAATGCATGGCTCTTAAATACAACTTTCAGGGTCTTTCTTCACTTAAATTCCTTAGGATTCCAAATCCTCCAGACTCAATTAACTGGGGTATTATCTTAGTTTCTACTAATTCATATTTTAGGCATAACAATGGTTATTGATGAGTTCCTAAGAATTTCTTAATTTAAAAAGGACTTAGAAATAGAACAAATGAATAACTGTAAATTTTGTATAAATATAAATTATTTCTTTTGATTTTATAATATAAAATTCAATTTTAATTTGTCTTATGAAAGCAGAACACTGTAGATACTTGGAAGCTCATGTAGCAATCCTATACCTAAATACTTAAGTCATAGCTTGCATATCTTTTTGGATAATCTGATCTCCTCATGACTTATTAATTCATCCAAAACAGATATGAAACACTTAAAATTGAATTAAACATGATGATCAGGTCCTATGCTCTTACACACGAACTGACACACCACCATGGGAGCTGGCTGAGTGATTAGGAGATTGCATAAGCTTCATCACACACCTTACCTTTTCCCTGTAAGTTAACATTCACTCACTGAAAAGATACTGAGCTTTATGCAACTTCTGAGCCTTACTTACCTCCTATAGTATCTTCATACCTTTAACAGGTTCCCAACCTCTTTCCTACCAGCTAACTACTTGCTTTGCAAAATGACACTCATTGTTTCTTTTCCACAAGAACAAAAACAGAGAATAAAATGCTAATACCAAGAACAATCCAGTAGAAACTAATATTATTTATTCTATGACAATTCTTTTTGTTTCAGTTCAATGCTGTGCTATCAGATGTAGCCAGAGCACCAGTGATAATGTCAGAAAATAAAAAGACGGTAAATGAATTAAGAACGAAGCACAAAATGTCCAAGTTTAATAACGACTAACACAATACATAAGCTTTAGACTTTACCTGAAAAGACTCATACTGCTCACGATCTACTGGACCTGTACAATACAGGTTCCCAGTATCTCTCTCCACATAAAATAAATTTCGAGGTTCTTGGTCCACTCCAGGTCCACTGATGGAATAGTATATAGTGTAGTTTTGGGCTGTGTCAGATTGGATCTAAAGAGCAGATATTACAAACATGAGACAAATTTTTATTTCATCAGAACTTTCAGCTGTATATTTATGCAATCATATCTTCATTTGTATTACAACAAATTGTCTTCCTTGACTTATTATTACATTATTATATTATATTATAAAATATATTATTATATTTTATATGAAAATTTAAAAAGCAATAAAGGAAGGCTAGTAACTGAGCAGTTTCAAGAACAAAGCATGAGCAAAATAATGCAGCAGCATTTGTTTTCCAGAATAACAAAGAAATCGTTTAAAAGCTAAATAGCTCTTTGAACTGGGCGTGTGAAATTTTTTGCTATATTAGAAAACAAAAATATCTTGAGCATGAAAAATTACTGTCCTTTTTAAATACTATTTTTATTATACATGATAAAATATTTAAGAAAATAGATTCACAGTATACTACCTGCCAGGCCAAAACTTGGAAAGCAATTTCCCTAAGAAATTTTTATTAGTCATCAGCTTTCTCCCTATTACAGGAGCTAAGTTTAAAGAAATGTATATATATTCCTATATATATGATTCAAAATGAAATAGTATCCTGGAGAGGGTGATATTTTGGTCTTTGATTAAGATAGCAAATTTCTTCCAAGTTTTTTCCATCCTTTCAGTAAGATCTTGACTATCATTATGTCAGGATGACTAAGACAATTATTTCCTAACAATTTCTTTCATAACTTTAATACCCTCATCTCTGACCCCCATTAAGTGTGTCGGTTGGGTATAAAGAAAGGTTCTTTCTCCCCACTTCAAGAACTGAGGGAAAAACACTGAATGGGAGAGTGGCCAGATAGTGGAAGAAGGCAAAAAGATTCATGCGGGTTTCCATGAAAGTCAAAAAAAGAGAGAGAAAATGTGGATCCAGTATGACTGAGGAAATGGACTTGGGAATAAGCAGTAGAAAGGCATGCATGTCCTTATCCTTCATGGCATTTGTAATTTCATCCTTTATTATAAAAGATATTTTTGGATTTTTGAGCCTATGCCTAGACTCTGCAATACCCTTGTTGATTAAAAAATTACTAAAGAAATGGACGCTTGAGAATACTACGTGGGTTTTACAGTTTTGTAGATAGGCTTTGCATGACGAAAGCTGCAAAAAAGTATGTAGAAATGCATTTACAACAATATATTGAAAAATCTGATACAAATATCCATTCACTCATATTTTTACACACTTCTTTTTGTAATATTATGGTTGAATCCAGGAAGTGCAGAGCTGCATCCCCAGCCTTTTCATATATGTATATTTTTTTAATTTTTTCATTTGGATACAGGGTCTCACTAACTTGCCCAGACTGTTCTTGAACTTGCCGGTCCTCCTGTCCCAGACTCCCAAGTAGCTGGGATTACAGGTGTGGGGCACTGAGCTTACATACTTTGTGTGTGTGTGTGTGTGTGTGTGCATGATACAGGTTATTGAACCCAGGACCTCAAATATGCTAAGAAGCATTTTGCCACTCAGCTACACACTTCCCACCCTTACACAATTATTCATAAGTAACTGCATATCAGTGTCATTTTTTTAAAGAAAAAAAACCAGACTTCTATAGCAGAAGGAAAATAAACTGCACCTGTTGAAGGAAAAGTGGGAACGGACCCAAAGAATTCTCTAGCATTGAACAGGGAATAGGAGCCCATCTTCTTTTGGAACGTCTTAGAAGTTTTTCTGTAGAATGCTTTTCCTTTTGTACCTTGATTTAGAAGACAGAGAAAACAAAATAAACAAATAAAGCTAATGACTAATTTCAAATGTTAGAGCTTTAATACATATTTCTCCAGGACTAGCTGAAGAGGTATAAGCCCCTAGTAGTACTTGAAAAACAAAGATCAACACTGCAAAAAGATAACGAAGAAATAGCAGGCTTAGCTGTTATTACAACAATCCTCTTGAAGAAAATAACTTGATGGAAACATAGAAATGAGAGAGAATGGACTGGAAGTCTAGAAACAAAACTGAAAAGATTACTGTCTCCACATTGCCATGCAAAAACATGGGAGGAGAGATATGCAAAGAAAATAAATATGCACCCTTCCACATTTAGCAGAGGCATCTTCAACTCACCAACCATTAAGCAGAGCCGAGGGATGGACAGAGAGATCTATGTTAGAATGAGGAGAAAAATACTCTTAAACTACTGCAGCAAGGAGTGGCCAATGGTTAATAGAAGTCATTTTCATCTTGGATATCACACAGCAGTAGACATTCTTGTGGCCCATATTATAAAATAGTCATCTACTGTCTAAGGCTACAAGTTATGCTGAGACGGATGGGAAAAAAAGTTTTTATTTATCTACAGATAGAGTTTCAAAACTGGTTTTTTGGAAATCCACTCTACAGGAAAGGCCAACAAATGCTGCTTTGTGTCTAATCTCAAATTCTCAGCCTATAGCTTATCCCATTTTCTCCTTTTATATCTCAGATGAAAAGCAATGGCAGCCTGAAATAATCTGTGTTACCCAATCCTTTTCCACTTAAACACTGGTAAGCTGCTATATGGTTTTCATTTTTCTTCAAACAAAACTATTCCATATCCTTCCTGATTCCACATTTTCCCTGGCAATAAATCTACAGAAAAGACATCATTATGCTTCATTTACATAGTCCTTATACCTTTGTTTGATCCTCTAAAAAGACAGAGATTGTCTTCTCTTCTTGGCTTTCTGTGTCAAAAAGTGATATGATAAACTCTCTCTTCTCGGAGGCCAAAAGAACAGCATTTGTTGTATAGACTGATCCATCTTCTAAAACCTGGAAATCGGGGTCACTTGAATGAATTAGAGTTGCAGATTTAAAGCACTCCTCCAGGTTAACTGTAGAAAATATACATAGCAGTTATTTGTAAGATGAAACGCAGCGATATGTAGATTTAACACTAATATATGCCTGTGAGGGTACCCAAACACTCAAATTCCAAATTACTTCTACATTTATCATTCTTAAAAAGACATTTGAAACTATAAGGTTAAGTTGTGCTTAAACACACATATTACTTTTAATGCTTATAAAGTCATCTTTTAATATCCTTTTAAAGAAAATATTTGTTCTGAAATAAAAGCACATGAACTTCCATGTTTAAATATTTAAGCCAATACCAACCACAGCTTCTCTTTCTCAACTGAAATTAGCTATAGAGTTAGCTAACTCATAAGAAAACCTGAAGTTAAAAACAGAATAGGGCTGATTAAAATTGGTAGTTATTAAATTAAAATATTACTGAACTCATGGGATCTGTGAAATATTCATATCCTGTGTCCTCACTGGTTTGATCTTTCCTTATACAAATGAGTTATGTAAAAAAGTTATTTGACAAAAATAACAGTATGTGAAAGTGAACTGCAATAAATCCACAATGCCCTTAGATTCAAGAAATAGTTTTAAGGGCCAGGGATTTAGCTCAGTGGTTTCGCCGCCTGCTGCACAAGCATAAGGACCCGAGTTTGATCCCTGGTAGCAAAAAAAAAAAAGAAATAGTTTCTCAATTTCTTAGAAGCATGCATATGCTGTAACCGTCAATTAATGTAAATATTAAAACTTATTTCATTTCTCAAACTAGATCTTTTTATTTACTCCTTATATCATATTTTTCAATAAAGAATGATATGCTTTAGGTTTAACTATCCTAAAACTATCTTAAACTGATGTTTAATAGATAATACCAAATTAAGATTGATTATGGATTTTAGCAGTTTCTTACCTCTACCAATGAATTTCTCAGCATCCAGTTTGGAAGGAACATACAGTATCACTGGTTTGCAGGCATCACAGGCAAATGTTAAGATCTAAAATAATTACATTGGTAATTGTATAAATTTGTATAATTTTAAATCCATTTATATAATTGGCAAAATAAACGAAAAACATTCTCTGGAGTAAGAAATCAGAAAAAAAAATCAAAGCAACAATAAAACAATAAATTAAGACTGATAGCTCCTTCCTCACAAAGCATATAAACTCAGTACTCTGTGCCCTCTTAAGTCTGTAAGAAAAATTTAGCAATAATTTCACTGAATAACCTTGTGGATATAGCAAAGATCCAGCACCCACCTGTGAGAGACAGAGCTGAAAAGTTTGAGAAGATAGCATATATATGTAAATAGGAAAAATAAATAAAAAACAAATTATACAAGCCCGAAAATTTCAATATTTTTTCCAACTGCCACTTCACATAGTTTACTAAATCAATAATCTCCCTTCCAAAAATCCCTACACACCTTTAAAGAGCAGCACTAGCTTATTACTGTGCAGTGATTTGAAGAGTATTCGTGTGCTACCCACATAACAAATAGATGCATGACTTTGATGTAAAAACTTACTTTGAAGAAACATCTCATAAATGAAAGTTAAGGTCATTTTAGAAAATGGTTTACTTAAATATTCTAAATGGTTTATGGTGAACTAATTTCAATGCAAAATATATTTGAACACACTGAAATTTAATTCTATTCTCTGAAATTTTATAATGAATGCTTCTGAAAGTTTCACATTTCTTTCTCTATAGTTTTGGAAAGGTCTTTGGCCAAAAGCAAGATAGCTGACTAGGATTTATACTGTCATTTATAACATCCATAAACATAAACCAAACCCATCTAAATTTGGATGAAATTTTATCTCATACATATCAACAAACCTTTAATTATAGAATTTAAATTATATATGAATGATTGGTAAGGCAGAAATTATATTTTATTTGCAAATTAAACACAGATACAATGAAGAGATTGTACTTGAATTGAAAATTAAAAGATGAGCCCTTGCACTGGCTGCATAGTTGAGACAGAGAATAGGAGTAGAATCAATGATTCCCAGGGTCCCAGCTCAAAGTGATTGACAGAACACATTCACTTATAATCCTGGCATGGTGACACAGGCCTGTAATTCCTGCACTCTAGGAGGCTGAGGCAGGAGGATCCCAAATTCAAGCTCAGCCTGGACAACTTAATGACTTAGCAAGACCTTTTCTCAAAAATTAATATAAATAAATAAATAAATAACAGGAAGGGCTGTGGAGGTAGCTCAGTGCAAAGGCTCTGGAATCAATCTCCAGTATTGAAAAAAACCAAGCAAAATAAAGAATACATCCACTTATTCATTCAACCAACATGTATTGGTTGCTGGTAGGTGCGAGGCAGAATCAAAGGGTACTGCTGTGAACAAAGCTAAGTCCCTCAAATAATAAAAGGCAAAAACTAAATACAAATACACAACTGTACAACTGTCACACAATCCTGAGGCAAAGGGATAAAAGCTATGAGAAAAGTAAAGCAAGGAAAAAGGGTGACAAAAGGAAAATCCAAAGTCTAAATGAAGTGAGGAAGCAAACCAGTTCCCTAACTGGGGAGTCTCCCAAAAACCAGAACAAAGCCCCCGCAGTGGGGCTTGTGTTTGTTAAACAATAAGGGAGTCACAGTAGCTGAGCACAGGATACAAAACTAAAGGTCAGTCTGGGGCAAGTCATGAAAGGTCTGAAAGTCCATGGCTAGAAACACAGATTTTGTTCTGAGTGCAGAGAAGCAGTAGTTTCCAGAGGCTGCAGCGTAGTAAAATCTGGAATTCACACTGAATCATTCTGCTACTTATGTGATGAACAGAATATAGAGGAGCAGGAGTGGATGCCTGGAGACCGACAGGCCATAGCAAGAATCCAAGAGAGGGATGCTAGTGACCTGGACTAAGGTGGGAATGGTGGAGAATGTGCAAAGATGACCGGATTAAGACTGTAGATTATATTATAATATTTATACTCAGATTATAGTTCCATCACGTGTCACATGACTATTGAAATTTAAATTTCAAAAAAATTGGGCCTATGTGGAGTCTACTAGCTAATTAGATTTTTTTTTCCAGACCACTATTTGTTCAATACTAGTTTTGAAACTCTTTCTAAAACAAATCACATCCTTTGATGTCTTGTTAATGCTTGAGATTTTTTTTAAATTATATGGAAAAATGTTTAAGTGCTTTTCAGTTTTGCTTTGGTTGAGTTCTACTATATTTGAATATTATTATAGTTTTTTCCCTTGCATTGCTTTTCTTCGAATAATTTTAATTTTGTATATGTGTGTGTTTAGTGAATGATAATAAAGTTATATTTTAAAAATTAATTTTAAAAAATTTTTCAAAATGACTGCAGTGGGGACGGTACTAACAGGATCCTGGATGTACAAGCATTCATGCACTTAACAAATATTCACTGAACCTCTACTCTGTACTACACATAAAGTGGTAAACAGGGTCTGCATGTAAACAGTCAATCCCAGGGTAAGACATCTGCAATCTCAATAACACAGGAAAATGAATGGCAGGGAAGGTCGATGGTGTGAGGAGCAAGGCTCATAACCTTGTGTAGGAGCCAGGTGAGTCTCCTAAAGCATGGTGATAAATTAGCCACAATAAGAGGAGACAGAGCTTACATTCCACGCCTATGTGGAACCACATATGTGAAGGCCCAGAGGCGTCTTGAAAAGAAACCGAGAATGGCTGGCATGTATAGTACAGAGGGAAAAAGTTTAAAATAGATTCAGAGAAATGGGTGTGGAGTAGTTTCTTAATGGCATTAGCAAAAAGTATGGATTTTTTTCCCCAAAGATAATAAAAAAAAAAGATTTGTTTCAAGCAAATAAATTACATAGCAGCTTTGTGTTTGAACATGATATCTGAGCAATGCAGAGAATGGATCAGAGAAAACACTCTTCATTTCCAATGCAGGGAAAACCACATGCCAAACTAACTAGAATTGAGGATAATAAAGAGCTAATAAAAATGGCAAGGATTGGGTAGGGAAAAAACTGAAGATTAAGCTGGAACACAGAGCAGTAAGAAGAAGCCAAAATCAACTTTTGACTTGCAAAGGGTTGACTCTGATTTCATGGAGAGAACACGAAATGAAAGCACAGGGGCCACCTACAATCTCAGAGAAGAAATTAATCTGGGTCCTGAGTGCTAAGGTTGAGCCCGAGGTAAGCTGACTTGCATGATCTGTGATCCCATGCATCTGTGATCCACAACCTCGAAGCCTGAATTGGGCCCAGCACGTGATCACCACCATACATGCTGAAAGGCACCTGATCAAATTCAACAACCATCGTTTTTTTTAAAGCCTCAACAAATAGAAATTAATGAATACTTCTGCTATAGGATTTTTACATATTGTAATCACAACACCAGCGGGAAAGCACTAGAAGCAATTCCTCTGCACTTAGAAACCGGGTAAGCTTTTCAAGTTCACCATAAAGTACTTTACATGACATATTAAGGGGCATATTACGCAAGAACATATGAGTTGCAAAGGAAAAGGTTAAAAAAAAAAGGAACTCTATTTTCATTTGCTATACCTTTACCTGGAAAATCCAAGCAAATCAACCAATTAATTATTGTAATATGATAATTAAGGGGCAAGTAACTATTAAAATAGAGACATTATTAGTCTTCATACCCATAAATGAAACTAGCTAGATAAAATAAATCATTTTCAAAAGCAATAAAATGTTAACATGCCAAAGAGTAAATTAGAGAAGAAACATGCAAAGCCTATTTGAAGAAAAACTAAAAACATTTCTGCAGGACATAAAAGGAGACTTGCACAAAAAGAAAGACATATCATTATCTTGGTTTGAAAAATATCAACAATGTACATATATCAGTCCTCACTCATTTAAATTAAATTAGTCCTCACTCATTCAAATTTTATGATCCTAATAAAATTCTCAACAGAATATTTTCTGGAACTAACCAGCCAATTCAAAGGGTCATAGGAACAATTAAAAGTAGACAGAAAAATTATGAAGAGCAATAAAAAGATGTTAGCCCTAGCAGATGTTAAAAGATCCTATAAAGTGTCAAGACAACATTAGCATGCTAATTCAATGATGCCTGAATTTGAAAGGAAGAAATATACAACTTCCCCATATGCATTTGATATGACTGTATACTGCCCATAAAAGACTTTCTGTTACACCTATCAAAAATTTACATTAATTTCTATTTATCCACATTTTTGCATACATATGTGTTGTCAAACTTTTGGATATTTGCCAAGTTTTGTTTTGCTTTTGTTTGTTTGTTTTTATGATACTGATTATTGAACCCAGGATCTTCACACTGAGCTATACTCTCAGTCCTTTTTTGTATCTTTATTTTGAGATAGGGTCTTACTAAATTGCTAAATTGTCCAGTCTGGACTGGAACTTGAAATCCTCTTGCATCCCCCTCCCAAGGTCCTGGGATTATGCCTGGCTTTCAATATATTTTTAATTCACTTTTTCTTATAATAAGTGAGGCTAAAATATTTTCATATTTTAAGGATCATTTTATTATTTTATTAGAATTTTTCAAGTTCTTGCTTATATTGAACTTTTTCAATTAATTTGCAAGAACTCTATATATGAGAGCAGCTTTTTAAAATATGGTTTGCAAATTTTTTTTCTAGTTTACTAGTTGTTTTTCAACACTGCTTATAGTGTTGTTTGTTTTGTTTTTTTGACATACAAAGTGTGTGTTTATTGTTAAATAACTGATTTTCTGTATTTTAATATTTTAACTTTTGAGATCCGATATGGTAATCATATTTTATACTTTAATACTTCATCTGTTCAGAATTTCCTATGGTATTACGTAGAAAGTTCAATCTTATTTTTTGGCAAATTTCTGCCTAGCTCAAGTGGTCTTAAACTCATTCTTAATCATGTCTTGCACTAATAATTTCTTATCCTCAATGATGTGCCATGCCATTGTAAAATAACTCTGTCTACTCTACACCCTTTGTTGGGGGAAAGAGCACTATCTACTAAAATTACATACTCATTTGCACTTTTGTTTGTCAACTCCATTTTTGGTACACTATTGATGTGAAATGATATATAGCCAAGTTTATTCATTGTGACAGTATTTGTAATAGCAAAAGGTTGTGGCAGATACAAGTAAGCACATCCAAGAGATATCTTTGAATGTTTAAGTCTATTGAGATTTACTGAGGGACCAGGGGAGGGAAGGAAAAATAAACAGCTTCCAGACTTCTACCTGAGGAGCAAAACATATGGGAGTGCCATATACTGAAATGCAGGGGTCTAAAAGAAAAATGACATTGTTAGGAAAGATGACTAATGCTGTGCCATACATAGTAGATAGAGATATGAAGGCTTATTACTCAATGACATGTGAACTAGCGATATTTAGGACACATTGGCACCTGTGTGATATTTTAAGCCATAAAAGCAGATGAAATGGCCTAGGAAGGGGGGGGGGGGTAAATTCCAAGAGGCAGGACCTAGAACACAATCCCAAGGAAAAACGAGCATTTAAGCATGGAAGAAAAAGTAATCAAACTCATAGAAGCAGAAAATAGAAGGGTGTTTGCCAGTGGCTGGGGTGTGGAGAAAGTTAGGCTTAGTCTCTGAATGGATATGAAGTTTCTGTTACACAAGATGAAAAACTTCTAAAGACCTACGGAACAACACTCGAAAACTTGTTAAAAGAGTAGATCTCACGTTGCATCACAGTAGTGACTCAGATTCCAAGTGGTCAGACAAGTCAAAAACAGAGTGAATTTCAACATTAGAGGCATAAGAACAGGACAGAATTTCGTAAGGAAGCCAAAGTGTACTTGAATTTGACAAGGGAGGTCCCCATTGACCTTCGAGGGAGAAGCTTCCTCAGGTGTTCAGGCCGAAGAAAGTTAAGTGGTTAAGCAGTGAATTGTAAGCAGATGCTGATTTGCAGGGTGTATGGGAAGGAGGCAATGCAAAGGGCGCCTCACCCTGGAAGTCGCTGTTGAATGAGGCCTCACACTCAGTGGTGACACATTCTCACAGCCACGACAACTGGCGACACACAGAGCATGGGGGTGGGGGTCGTGGGAAGCCTCCCAAGTAGGATGAGGGCGCGGCGGGGTCTGCTCTCTCTACCTGGCTCCTAGCCTAGAAGGCTCAGAAGCTTCGGAAGATCAGCGAGGATTCGGTTTCCTTGTACTTGCTCAGCCTCTGCTTTTTCTCAAAAGGCTCTGTGTAGGTTTCTGAAGAACAACCCTCTTTACTGCGGTCCTTAACCATGCCTTTTCCTTCAAAGAATAAAGGCTAACCATGTAGAAATGGTAACTTTCTTAGGAGACAAAGCTTCACTTCTTTTGTCTCGAGCAACGTATTTCGTAAGTGTTATCCGTTCCATCCTTAGTTTCCGCAACTATAAAATAACAGCTGCTGTTTATTTGGCCCTTTCTGTGTTACGACTACGCCTTGGAATTTGGGTTAAAGGTCTGGATCCATTCAGTTCTTTGCCAGAGACATTCTGGTATATGTTAACGACAGTCCCCTTACGTGAAACAATCAGGGAGGCTTTGTGAAATAAGAGCCAAACAGTGGAGGAAGGTATCCGGAGACTCGGGTCCACCTCTTTCAGAAAAAAATCAGCCCTCTCTGGTTCGCAGGGTCCCTGCTGGTATCTTTCAGGGTTGACGCTTCCAGAAGCCCCTCCGGAAAGGACGCTAGCTGGTAGGTTGCGCACTCCTTTAGACGTCCTCGACAAAACAACTTTCCTCCTCTTGAAAAGTCCAGACCGGAGCTAGCACCTCCGATCCCAGGTTCCCCTAGGGTGCAGGCCCGCAAGGGACTCCTGGGTTCCAGCGCGATCCAGTCTTTTCCTCCCGGAGGGGGCCGTCTAGTCCCAAACAAGGCCACCTGCTTGGGCTCCCAGCTCCGGGTAGGAGTGAGGTCGTCACAGCTGTGCTCTTTAGGGTGAGAAAGGAGCTGGGGCTGGGGCCAGGGGTTGGAAGTGGAAATCCAGATGCCTCCGGGGACAAAGGGTAGGAGGACTAGGACGCGCGTTCCCCGAAATACCTAGGGGACGGAAGCTGCACCCGCTAACAATGTAAACTATGTAAATGGTCACCAGTGACCGCCCATGTCCGGGCTTCAGGAACTGAGGATCGAGGGTCTCCTCCGTTCCCACCCCCCGTCGCCCCCTCACTCACCCACACGCATGCACCGAGCTCAACCCCCCCCCCCCGAAAGGCGAGGAGTCCCCTCTTTCACCCAAGGACACTTGCTTTCGGTCCCGTCCGCCCCGCGGCTGCCCTTTACGTGGCCGGAGCCCGGCGCCCAGCCGGGGGCGGTGCGCACCCCGGGACCGCGCGAGAGGCGCGCAGGCAGCCCCGGCGCACCCGCTTCCTGGCGCGCACCTAGAGGCCACGGATTTGGATGGGCGTTCGCCGCCCGCGCCTCTGCCTCCACCTGCTCGCGCCGATTACATCTCCGAGCCACCCTGCCCTCCCCTAGGGGACCGCGGCGCCTGGGTCGAGCTCCTCTTCCGGTCTGCCCTTCCCCACCCCCAGCCAACCCCAGGTTTAGCCACCTCTGGGACCCTGAACCCCAGCTTTGACGGCCACCCCAACCCAGCCCTGACCCCCAACCTCCCCCTTCGTCCCAGGCGGTCGGACCCCCCCCTCTGTAGCGCTCACCGAGAGGGTCAGCAGGAGCTGCCGGCAGAGGCCTCCGCTCCAGGAGCGCGCGGGTCTGGGCGCCGCCATGGAGAGAGGACGGGACACGCGGGTCGCCGCCGCGCACCGGGAGGGGGAGGGCTCGGCGCGGCGCAGGGGCGCAGGCTGGGTCCCCGGCGCAAGAGTGCGGCCGAGCGCGTGGGGAGCCTTTTCTTCTTGCTTTCTCTGAAGTGCCTGCCTCCACCCAAGGGGCTTTTCCTCTGCTCCAGGGTGAGGCTGCAGGCGAATCCAAAGACACCGATCGGCCCCTCCTTGCTAGTTTCTTAAGTCTTCATTTCTTTAGGAATTCAACAGGTGGGAACTCCCTCTCGTCGCCACCCTGTCACCTGCCCAAAGTGTTTCTCATCCACGGGCGCCACCTATATGGCCCATGTCCCCCCGCCCCGGTGTCCGCTCGGCAGGATCAGCAGCTGGCCCTGCCCAGCAGAAGCCCTGACTGTACAAAGACTCACTCTCGAGCGCGGTCAGCCCGGCCCCGCCCAGCCCCAGGCCCTCTCGGCCTGGGCCGCCCCTGACCCGGGGTCATTGCAGACCCAAGAAACAGCCCGGAGCTGCAGAGTCCCCTCATCTGTCACCGCTGCGTGAGGCCCACCTCCTGAAGACTAGGCTCGGGAGGCTGTTTTCACAGTCTTTCCTGAAATAAAATTCCCACAGACTTCCACATGGAGTTCCAGCAGCACTTTCAACTGGGACGAACCATTCTTCAGGATGTTGTTTCAGAAATGTCATAGTATGAAAATAAGACGAGAAAATTACAATCACTTAAAAACATAAATAGATCAATAAAGGTAAAATAACAAAAGGAAGAATGTGTTACTATGGAAAAATGCAACCGCTTAGGTCCTAAATGTGAGCTACTGATTTTCCTCAAGAACCGTCCTTATCAGGACGTCAACCACAGGCCTTCTTATAATTTCTCCCACGTTGATCTGCTGAACATCTCCTAGTTCAGAGTTCTCTTTCACTGCCATCCAAACCAGAGTTCATCGTGAGAAGTGAAGAAGAATGGGGTAATTTACATTTTGATTTGACTTACACTTAAGCTGGATGAATTATAACAGCGCATAACCAGGAAGATTAAAATATAGAAGCTGTGTGATTTCAGCTCTTCAGAAAGCAATGACAAGGCATTCTGACTCATCTTCCTGAACCTCTTTTCAATTAGTGACTTAAACCAGGTAAGTCTGACCACAAGGGAGAAACTTGGCTCTTCCATTTTGTTTGGTTTAAATCTTTTCTGAGACGTCTGGAGAAACCTACTTGAAAAGCCAACCATGACACTTAATAGCGTTTCAATTATTGAACGCATTTATGATCCTAATACCATTATACATAGGACTAGAGTGATTGTAATACTCAAAACAGTGCATGCATGTCTTATATCAGGTGTATTCGTTCCAAGCTGTTTTATTAATGAATGGCACATAATGAGCTGTTCTATTATTTCCATGTCTATAAAATCATCATTGAACTTTTGCTAGTAAAATAAGCCTGGCTCATCATAATGAGACTGGAGCTGACCTTCTGCTTCCATATTTTTACCCCTTAAGTTTCTCCAGCAATGGTTTGGTAAACACCCCTCATCCTATTAATGATAACATCATGATCTCTAGCATGAAGCTATTCAGAAACAGAAAAGTGAGCTAGTTTCAGGCTCCAGAAATCTACTCAGTCATCATAGCCTTTGACAATGGAACATTTCCTAACTCTTGCTTACCCTTACTTGTAATTCCTTAAGGATGGCTCATGTTTTTCCTCATTCCAGAAAAGGGCAGAGGAGTAATTTGATAAAAACATCTTAGACATTTATCATCATCTTTCATATTAGGTGCTTGAATAGGGCTATTAAAGTGGTGATTTTTGTTTATTCATGATGAAAAATTTTTAAACAAAGGAATGAAATATAAACTACTTCCTCTAAGTAAGTGCCCCAAATTATTTGTATATTTAAATTAGACTATGTGGTCACTGAAAAGGATTCTTCTATAAAACAGGTTTGAGATACCCAACATAAATTTGAAGAGACAATAAAATGTGGGTAGACATCATCTTTTAAAGATTTTTGGCTATAACTTTTGGTTATAAGTCTGCTAACATGAATGAGTTTTCTATTTTGTTGCCGTAAAGACTGAAAATCTGGAAGTATCTTCTTGTATGTCTTGAGCTGCTCAAAGAATCTCCCAGGTCCAGCACTCCCTAAATAAGATAACCTAAATAAGATAATCAAACTAATACTGAATGCCCTACGGGACCTTCCACATCTAAATTTAAACTACTGCGACTGTGTATGACCTGTTTATTGAAAATCTTGGTCTGAACCTGCTCATCATTTCGTACATACCATAGAAAGTCAGATCCCAGAGAGTCCTTAAAGGGAGAAACAATCAGCATCTCAAGCCAAAGTTATCCAGTCTCGCTTCATACTTTTCTCATTCCAGAAATAGAAACTAAGTATATTAAAGACAACAAGAACACACACACACAAATCCCACTCATGATGGATGTACACATAGGCAGCAGTCCCTAAAGGGCATGATTCCTCCCTTTCCCCTGCTGACAGAGCCTGTGGAAGGGACTCACGTGGACAGACAGGTGTCATCTGTAGCAGAATCTACCTTGGCGTGATGTATAACACAAGTGAGTCCAAAAGCAAGGGAGACACAAATGAAAATTTCAAAATAACCAGCAGTACTACTGTTGAGTTTATATTATATGACCAATCTTCATCCGTCAACTTTACAACAAATTTTCAAATGCTCAAGAAAATTTATTCTTCAAAGTTTTATGAATCAGATGTAATAATTTGGATCTTGAAGTAAACATGATTGTGACATTGAAGAGGAAAATGTCCATGGAGGCAGGTCAGGAGTATTGGATGAGGCAGATGACAGATGGAGGACAGACTTTGCAACAGCAGATACTACTGTGCTTGCAGGGTATTTGGAGTCATACAGGTGAAATATGGGAGAAGAAAATATAATTACTTAACTCCGCAGTTAATATTTATGACTCGAAAAATTTAGGTGGGTTTTAATTATATAATATATAATTTATATTTATTTACATACATTTTTATATACTATTTATAAATCGTACCTAGAACACAGCAAGTATTCAATAAGCATTAGCTAATATATATATTGGTATGTATGGAACATGGGCTTTTTTCTAATTTATATCAGTCAATCATCACATCAAACTTAAAATCACATTATTTGGCTGTTCACCAGCAGGGTTTAAGTGGGAATGCGATAGGAGAGTAGGGCATAGCAAAGCTGGCTGGGGAAGGAGCCCTGACCTGTTAATTACAAAACCCCAACAGTTCCCAAAACCCTGTGCATGGACTTACTCCGAGAACTCGAGCAGGGTTTCAATAGGATGGGCTGGACCTGACATCAGTCTGAGGCATGGGATCCCAGCGCCCCCTCCCAGGACCCTTATGTAGAAGTTTTCATGGGTTTCCTCAAGAGATTTGGACAGCATAAAAGGAGAGGTGGGCCAGGAAGAATCTGACTTCCCACTGTAGCCCATGCTGTGTTTCCAAGATGCCATGTGTACTTTTTGTTTTTCTCTTGTTCTGCCCAGTTTGCTCTGCAGAGCTGGTCTCTCCCATATCCCTTCATCCTTTACTTTTCAAATAAACTTTTGGCACTGTTTTTCACTTGTCTCATCCAATTCTTTGTTCCAGAGGAAAAGAACCTAGAATCTAACTCCAGAAGGAGAAGTGAGCAACCCAGGTCCCAGTAATCTGATACCAGGAACTACATGATTTTTAAGAAAAATGGCCACTTTGCTTGCTCCATATCTCCAACAGGAGTCAAAAGAGAGCCCCAGAAATATCTAATGAAGGGAAAAGCCGATGGAAAATTTTCCCTTGAATTGCAATGCTTACGCACATTCTCCTGTGCTCCATAGTTTTGAAGCCTGTCCATCTGTTTACTGTATAAAACACTCCTGATCAAGGGGCATTCAGCCTCTTGAATAGGAGACCTTGCACAAACACAAAGCACATCAGTGATCACAGATTCAAAGACTCGATCCTGAGAATGACAAGTCCTTAACTTCCGTCATTCCTTTAGCACCTTATAAACCCGGCAAGACCTGCCCCCTCACTCACCCTCCTGTCTCCCACCACCTTCCACTTTGAGATTAGAAGAATATTCTCTATAGAGTCTTTATCCTGTTCATCTCGGCTCCCAAAAGAAGTCATGGCTCCCTGGGACATCCTTTCTCCCCTGGAACCTATTTTCTTCCCCCTAGAACCTGTTCCCTATAAAGCTCTACATATACCCTTTCCTGACCCCACCCCAAATACTGAGCCCTTCCACTGTTCACTCTTAAACCCAGCAGAACCTGTCACAGCCTCAGTCTCTTCCTTTTCTAATGGCTCTTGCTCTAGAGGACCTGACTGTAACAGGTACAGACATTTTCCTTCAATGATTCTAAGACTGTGGGTGCTGGAGGTCAAATACATGGGCTGCTTGCTCCTCGTTTTTATTTCCAAATAATACTTTCTCACACATTCTGTCCTGAGCATCACCTTCTCCACAACTAGATCTCAAGTTAGCAGACTAAGCTCCCACTCTACACATCCTTGCAGTTATCTACAGGTTTCCCCAATACGTTCCTTTTCAGTCCATGGGAAAGCTTCTCGTTCATTGTTAAACTCTCTAGAGCTCCACTCCTCTCATAACTCTTGATGACTTCAACATGTACATCGTGGTAGGTAAAATAAAGGCCTCTCAAAGATAGCTATGTCCTAATCCTCAGACTCTGAATAGGTTACCTTACATAACAAAGGCAGCAAGTGAGCAAAGCTCATGTTAAAACAAGGAGGTTATTCTAGATTGTGCAGGTGGCTCAGTGTATCACAAGGGCCCTTAACTGTGGAAGGAGGAATCAGAGAAGGAGATGTGAGGATGGAAGGTGCATCAGATAATGTAACATAAGAAAGACTTGACCCACTTGCTGACTTTGAAAATGGACTACAGTGCCATTATTTAGACAACTCCTAGAGGCTGAAAAACACAAGAAAAGGATTCTCCTAAGAGGCCTCCAGAAAGGAACACAGCCCTACTTCTAACTCTGTAGATGGGCTTATCAAAGAATATTTTATTCCTATCCATCAAACCCTTACTTTAAGAAGTGGAGATTGTAAAATAATTTATCTGCATAAAAATGCCTATTGTTAATGTACTTCACACATTTGTTTTCATAATACTTAAACATTTAAATTGGTTTATGTATACACATTTGAAAATAGTCATGTCTTTGGTAGTAAGGATTTGGGTAATATAGAGATTCTTTTTATCTTTTATGTCAACATTATATATTTCAAGGCTTTAAAAACATTCTTTTCAACTAGTACAGGACTTTTATAACTAATAACGCTACAGAACAGGCTAACAAAAATCCTCCACTCTAAAACAGCTATTTTGAGTATTTTCCAAATAACATAGCATCTGACATTTTCTACAAGTAAACATGCATATAGATATGAAATTTTAGAAAGTGCTTTGAATAAAGTCAGAGGTAGTTATATGTTCAGTAAGGTTAGAAAGTGCTTCATGAAGCTCATTTATAAAAATTACATAGATTTTCATCTAACTTGGTGTCCCCAAGGAACTTTTTGACATGAAATATTTGAAATCTGAATCAAGACAAGGAAAGTTGGATTGTTTAGTTCTCTAACTATACATTTCAGTATAGAAAACCAATTCATCACTATTAACTTACTAATTGTCAAACAACACAATCAATTTATATGAAATATATATTTTATTAACAAACCAAATTTATAAACAGTCTGATGGAGTTTCATAAATTTCATCAATCATGCAATTAACATGTAATTGTGAGTCTAAACAGAAAATGACTTTGAGCTGCCTACAGAAATTAATCAACAGTTACAGCTTCTTTGTGAGATAAATTTTAATAATATTTTAAAATATTTTAAATAGACAAAATGCTTAATACAAATTCATTTTCTACATTCTACTAATTCTTCTAATACTTCAAAACATCATTTGTTGCTGAGAAATCTACCTGAGGACATTACACATGCTTTGCACTCAGATATAAATTTTCTTTTCCATATTTAAGCAAATCGAAGAGACATAGAAAGACAAACACATATAGCTTAATATTCAGCTAATATTTTTTACTTATAGAACATCTATACCTACATTCAAAAGTATAACCTATGATACTGTATTTCCAAATTTGTTATATTGTATTTTAAATTTCAAAACTCATATCACTGTCAAAGCAATATGTATGTCAAGCAATACAAATCGCATCACCCTTCCCCCATTACCTTACAATGACATTAAAACTTGGACATTGTGGTCATCTTATAAATCCAAATCTGGCTTTTTAAAACTACATTTTCTTGGGCTGGGGATTTGGCTCAGTGGTTTCGTCGCCTGCTGCGCAAGCGCAAGGACCTGAGTTCAATCCCCGGTACCAAAAAAACAAAACAAACAAACAAAAAACTACATCTTCTCTTGCTCCAATATCCAATTTCATATTAAGACTCACCTTTCCTCAGAAACTGTAACTGAGAATAAGACTACCACTTGGTTTTTTAAATAGAAAGCTGGTTAATAGGTTAAACAAAACAATTTAATTTAGGTGAGAAATTTCCACATAATATACATTGTTATTCTGTATAGCTTGATAGAGGTTGCCACAAATGACTAATAAAAGATTACTTAAATATATAATCTTTCTAGGTTAATAAAATATATCCTATCAAAATCGTATGCCTTCAAAATAATTTTCTTACTCTCCTGTTTGTTCATTTATCAAACATTCAGTGAATTCTCAGTCACTGTTGCTGTAATAGGTTTTAATTTTTTAATAAATTCATATATGTGCTAGATACTATTTCTGATTTTCCATTTCAAAAGAATGATTACCAATGTAGATAGAGTACTAAATTCCAATATAGAAGTTAACTAAATTTTTGTCACATATGAAGGGCCAAGCCCTATATGTCAGAATTGCAGCCTAATGCCTTCAGGGCTGATTGTACAAATGCTTGAAGGTACAGGGTAAAAGGCTCTGAGATGGCAGGTCTGGGTCAAACTAGAGGTTAAATGGGTTTGCCGATGTATTTATATCTTTAAAGACTAACTAGTATACCATGTTGGACATACAAAACATTTGTGTGGGGGGCGTTGAGACAGGGTGTCGTCATGTAGTTCAGGCTAGCCTTGAACTATGTAGCCCAGGCTGGTCTTGAACTCCTGGCGATCCCCCTGACTCGGCCTCCCCAGTGCCAGGATTACAGGTGTGTGGCACCACGCCCAGCTAAAACATCTTTTTGAGCCTGTCCACTCATGGGCATCAGCGTTGTAAATCTTGCACATAATCCTTGGCAAGTCTGTGCAGCCCAAGCTGCTGGTCTATGTCTTTCCAACAGTCCCTGAAGCTGTAGGCACCGACTAGCACAATCGCCTGAGTGACAATCCAGGGACAAACCTCCAAAGGATCCTGGAGAGAAAGTACTGGGAGCACCTCCTCCAAGGAGTGAAAGGTGTAGTGAGAAATGAACTCATTTACCTACCAAACAGAAGGCTGCACCTAAGAATACATATACATCCTGCAGGTAGAGAGACAGCAGTTCTCTGGCACTAAAGAAAATAAACCCAAGATCATAATTTCCCCTAAGATTTTGAAAGAAAAATTTTAATTTGTACATCTAAAATGAAAATTCATTCAGAATAGCTTCCACAGTACCCAGCCCTCCCACACAGTCTTCATAGCACGCAAGGTAGCATGAGTTTTCAAATACATAGAAGACACAAGAGCGCATACCGTGCAGTCCCGAAGGGGCAGTGCAGTATACACGACCATATACAAGACAATGGCAGTGCAACTTTTACTTTACAGAATATGGAAATTCTGAGACAGGGAGAACTTGGGGGAGTCTCATAGTTACAATAACAAACATAGTTCCCTCCGATACACTAAATCACTAGCAGATGCTGCTATCCCTTTATATTCAATAGACTCCTACACATGCATTTGTAGATGTTACTCTACTAGAAAGCACATTTATTTCTTTACACACGTTTTAGCTAATGTCCTAAATTTGGGTTCCAGGTGATCTAGAAACTCCAGGCCTTCTTCTTCCTGCTGATCACTGCAGCAGCCCACTGAGCCTGCCACAGAGCCTTTGCCTTCATAGTTATATGAACGAACGTAGTCTTCTGAATGTTTATGCTGCTCATCTTGTCCGCAAAGATACACCTTCTGTATCGAGAAAGAGCACATTTTATTATTTATTTTTAAAAACACCTACACAGATTAGCATAAAAATGATGTCTTGGATTTACCTTTTACTGTTTAATTTTTAATCAGAGTGTGTCCTCTAATGGATTCCTACATATAAAAAATGCACATGATTGGTCTGTATTATATTCATTCTTAAAATATAGCAAATAAACCAATGCCCCGAGGGAAAATTATGAAAACTAAGGCTACATATACATCACGTAATTCATTTACAAGTTCCCTTTTGCACACAGGATGCATATAGTTGAAATTTACTGCCATCGATTCTTCAAATATATGCAGACCCATAGGCAATACAGGCTATGATTCTTATGTTTAAATACTAGTATATACCTATAATAATGAAATATGTTAAACTGGCTAATATCAACCTATACTAGCTAATCTGAGCCAAAAGCAAAACAAAAACAAGAAAAGAACAAAAATAAAATAAGTAAATAAAACCCCAAACAAAAGCTTGACAATCTGTCTGTTAGCTTGAATAGCCAAGTCTTCATAACTACATAAAGAACTCAAGCACACTGGCAAATGGTATGATTTATGATCTGTCCATTGCAACAAATATTTCATCGGAGATGGTTTCTTTGGTAATTTTTAGGGAAGAAGCTATCAATTTTTTAATCTTCCCAGACATCCACATAGGCTACCCCTAGATAAAGTGTGGGAACCCATATTTTAAAATTTGGCGTTAAAAAGGTAATTTTACTCTTTGACTTTGGAGTTGACATCCACATCTGTCATAATTTAGAATTAAAATGATAATGTGTTCCAGGTGTACGAGCAGTTGAATTTTGGGAAATCCTGACCAATAATGCTCCACTTTCATTTGACTAAACTTGAAGACACTGCCACTTACTTCTCCAAGCCGAGGCTGAGTGAAGCTCTGCCAGTCAGTGTAGGTGTATCTGCCAGGGTCTGCCACCCCCTTTGTGGACTCCAAGGTTTGATGGCCACCTCCTTTGCTGGAATCCAAAGTGTAGCCTCCTTTGACCATTTCAAAACTTTGCTGTGTTTTAATTCCCTGGCCACCAAGAGTACCAACAGACATGCTTGTGTCACAAATGTTGGATGTCTGTATAGGGAGTCTAATATTTGCTTCCTATAAATAAAGTTAAAGATAAAATGAATGAATCAAAATGAAACTAACAATTCACTTTCTTCCCCACCAAAGGCAAATCACTTACCTGCTGTGCTTCAGCCCCCCACATGTAAAATCAGGATAATACAGTAGCCATACTGTAAATGCTAGGGGTTAAACTGTATCCCCTAAAAATGTACGTGTTGAAGTCCCAACACCAGTACCTTACAATGTGACCTAATTTGGAAACAAGGTCATTGTAGATACAGTTGCTTAAGTTGAGATGAGGTCATACTGTATAAGATGCCTGATCTAGTATGACCAGTATCCTTCCTCACGGAAAGGGGAGATTTGAACACAGGCACACACAGGGAGAATGTCATGTGAAGATTCAATCTATGCTACTATTAACTCAGGTGTGACAGTTTAGGAGAAAAACTTAGGACAAGTTCTTCCCTAGTGTCTTCAAATGGGACACAGCCCTGCCAACACCTTTATCTCTGATTTCTGCCTTCCAAAACAGTGAGATAATAAGTTTCCGTTGTTTAAGTCATTCAATTTGTTATGGCAGTCCTTTGAAACTAATGCAATGAGATTGTGAGGTTTAAATAAATTAAAACATGCAACTTGGAATTCTGCTTGGCATAGAACGTGCTCAATAAACATCATACGTTATTATTACCATTATTATGTATTAATCAGACTATCAATATTGGGTCACCATACAGTTCAAAGGGAGTTGAAATCTGATTTACCGTTACTTCTTCTCCAGGTCCTTCAGTATTTGATACAATTAAATTTTGCTGGGCTACATCCTCTGGAAAACATTTCTTTACTGTTGTCTTGGTAGTAACACAAAAACATGTAAATATCATACCTAAAAAATAAAAAAATTGAAGTAAATTTTTTTCTCCTTTTGGTAGATAATGAATAATTTGATTATAAGATTTTTTTAAAGGTTCTCTGTACAACCTTTTAACATTCATCTTATGAACTGAAGCCAGATCTGGTCATAAAACTTAAAACAGAATATTTTAAAAATGCATTCGTTATTTAATCATCTTTGCCTTAGATTAATAATAACTCCCTTCCTGGGTTCAAAATTAATTTATATGTATCTCCTACTTCCTCTACATTGAAGTAGTAACTCCATTTGTCTGAAACCTAAGAAAATATTATTGATGTTTAAAATCATATGTAACATATATAAAAGGCTCAGAACAGCAAAGCGAAGAACTTTAGGCATAACTATAACTAGAAAGGCAATTACATAAAATCAGTGCCTATTTTTGAAAGCATTCATCAACTAATACACTGCTAACAGGAATATTCAGTTTAATTTGAACTTCAAACCAAAATGAATTAGGACATAGTTAAGACTAAGGGACAAGTTGTAAATGTAGTGGTTCTTTGTAGCTGAGAGATAGCTAAGGGTAAGGAATATTTTTACTACTTTTACATCTCCAAAAAGCAGTTTCAAGAGCACAAAATCTTAGTTTCCTTTCCATGCATTACTTTTCTGCAATGGCTCATATTATGACCATTTTAACTCACTGGAGTTTTCTTATGGTGTAAACTGAATCACGTCATTAACAATATGGAACACAAATGTCTAAACACATTTTGGAACCACTCTGTTTTCACTGATTCTTTTTGTACTATGTGTCCCCTTAGTAAACTTGGCTGCTTGAAAGGCTATAATATTTAATATGGGAAGGACTCTTAATAATTTTATCCAACTTCTTCATTTTATATATGGAAAAATATGTTCAAGGAAGGAGAAATGATTTACCCAATGTTTCACGGCTCATTATTAAAGAACTAAGACTACTACCCCGATACTTAATTTAAACACTTGAATGTGCTGTTATGAATATTTCTTCTATGATTCAGAACCCAACTTATAAAGCAGGTGCAAGACCTTTAAAAGGACACTTATGCCAAAGGCTAGACATGTCATTAATATGAAAAACTGCCATATATTTTGTCCTAAACTGCCCATCATTTGGTAAGTGTCCTTCCAAATGATGTGCTGTGCCTCGAAGGCTTGGAACCCACCTCCAGCACTATCAGGAGGGGATAGACCCTGAGGGGGCGGAGCCTGCGGGAGGAGGTCCAGCCCCTGGGGAGGTGCTCTTCAAGGGGACCCTGAAAGCTCTTTCCCTTCTGGTCTTTTGTTTCCCGGTTTCCACGAAGTTAGTAGCTTTGCACTACCAGATGCTTCCAGCCACAGACGCAGATCAGCAGAGCCAGTCAACCATGGACTGAAACTTCCGAAACTATGAGCCAAAATAAACCTTTCCCCTTACAAATTGTTACCGAAGATATTTTGTTATGGTAACAGAAATCTAATTAGGTAAAACTTTAGTTAAAACATTGCAGATACTTACATAGTAACAATGCAGAACCCAAAATCATGGCAAGAATAGCCCACTTTCCAAGAATTACGTTTGAGCTTGATACTTTAATATCTCTGTCATCTTTAAAACTCATTCTACATTCAGATGGAGTTGTACAGTCACATACTTTCACTGATAAAATATGTTTTGCAGAAATACCATGTCTGTCTTGTATTTGGATAGGCACAGAATAATAGTTATTTTCGAGATGTTGCCGTCCACGAAGAATGGCACTTGTACCTTGAGAAAAAAAGGCAGAGAGAATGTACAATGACATGACTTTTCAGTAGCCGTAGTATTTCTACTTGGTATTATTGGGAGGAATTAATTTGAAATAAAAACATTAACAGATCATTTTTCTTTCTTAAAAATTACTTTGATTTCTCATAGGATCAGAAAAAAATAACATTATTTTATGTTCATATTAGACTAATCTACACTTAACATGCTTTACGAATAATTGGATAAAATGGATTTATGTTTTCTTAAAAGATACTTGAACAAGAGTCTAAGTATAGTGTATATTGTATATATATAGTATATGTATATATATTAGGTATATAGTATATTATATATATAGTATATGTAATTTATATGTACAGAATTTATACATATAATATTTATGGTATTTTTTCTTAGGGTCAATAAAATAATTTCCTAAAATGAATGTGCATTTTCATTTTTATGATAAACTAAAGTCAAAGACCATCAAATATTTTGAGCCCCTGTTGATTAAAAGATTTAGCATAATTTCTTACCATCCTTTGATTCGATAGTCCAAAGTTTGTTGGCAGAATTATCCAAAAAGAATTGAAAAGGTGGACCATTTTCAGGCCCATCTGGATCTACAGGTTCCAGAACAGCATAGTCTTGATTGTGCTGGCAAATGGTCACATCTTTATCAATTTGTGGTGGGTGATCATTATAATCTTCCAAAAAAACTACTAATGTTCCTGTGCAGGATCGGCCAACTAAGGTAAATAAAAAATTGGTGATTTCTACATTGGATATGTGTTTCTGACAATTTATATAACACACAACTAATAGCTCCTTTCAAATAGCTCCCTAGATCTCGGACATAGTTATAAAACAATGACCTGCCATTCTTCCTGGAAGACTCATGGCTGGATCAGATATCTTTCCAGGTGCTTTTTAACACTAAAAAATGTGTGATTATGAGGAACGTAAATACAGAATAACCTGTGTACAACTGATTTCTTACATTGTTTATAAAGACATATATTCAGCCAGGGGTTTAGCTCAGTGGCACTGCGCCTGCCTCACAAGCACAAGGTCCTGAGTTCCATCCCTGGTACCCCACAACCCCGAAAAAAAAAGAAGAAAAAAAATGACATATATTCATCCTTAATATAAAAATACTTCATATTTGGTTATTAATTATCTTCTCAGCTTCTTCTTTTTTTCCTCATATATCTTTTGCTCAAAATTTGTAAGATTTATCAAATCCCTGAGGGACTTTCCTTCCTGTCTGCCTTGGCACATTCTGTTACCACTTCCAAGAACACTTTTGTTTTTGCCTGATAACACTTGTTTTATTTTAATTTTATTTTATTCCCTGATCTTCACACATGTTAAGCATGTACTCTGCCACTGAGCTCCTTTCCCAGAATAACCCTATTATCCTCGTGAAACCTGTGACTTCTGCAGACAATGGGAGTCACATTCTCCTCAGTTTTCTCAGAATAGTCTGGGCATACTTTATTTAGCTGGCATACTGAACATGTAAAATGGTAAGACATACAGTGGTGCCTCAGTTCAAGAGCTTAATTCATTCCACACTTTTGGAAAAGATGGCCACATTTGTGTTCATGTGGGGAAGATGGCCATGGTCTTGTTCGTCACCCAATGTTGAGTTTGCAAACAAAAACAAAATTTTGCCAAATGCTTGTTTGTGAACCAAATTGCAAGCAAAAGCATTCATGAACCAACATAACACTGTATTCACCTAAGGAGCCTAGTGTTTTTTGACTAATTGTAAATTAATGTTACTCAATTGAACATAATACAGTTACTCTTTTTATGCTGTGAAAAGATGTAATTGAATAAGTCAGGAAAATGAGTTTTGACCCTAATTCAATTGATACGATTTTTATTAACAGTAGCTCTCTTACTCATCTGTTGATTATCACTATGTTTAGCCTAATGTTGCACACATAAATCTCAAGAAATATTTTAAATTAAAGTACAGCCTATAATTTGTATTTTAGAAATAATGAAGTTCAGAAACTTCTTTAAATTCTACCATTTGTGAAAGGATAATAAACTTCTGTGAATGATATGATTTCAAAATTGAAACAAACAAAAGTATGGTAATTGGTCCAATTTCTCATTTTCTTACATTTATGCCAGCCTAAAATTTTGAAATATGTATGTTGAATTTATCATAAATACTATAAATCCTATGCAAATATAATCTCTTTCTCTTCTTAGCTTGAAAGAACCCCTAAATCATACTATGTAATGTAGTTCAGAGATTTTTCTCTGTTAAATAATGACATTAATCTATTCGCAGTGATTTTTAAACTATTTACTTATATAAAATTACTATATATATGTATTCTATCTGAAACAGGTTTTGAAATATCTAAGTTGAAGAGACATATTGAAAGAATAGCTGAAGAGTCACATTAAAAGAGACATGGGGCCGGGGATTTAGCTCTGTGGTTCTGTCGCTTGCCTTGCAAGCTCAAGGACCCGAGTTCAATCCCTGGTACCAAAAAAAAAAAAAA